ATCCAAACGCCGGGCAGAATCGTCAAATATTAACAAACAGAATCCATGTCAGGAGAGTACAAATATGTTGTCAGTTTGGTTACGTGTGTGTGTGTGTGTGTGTGTGTGTGTGTGTGTGTGTGTGTGTGTGTGTGTGTGTGTGTGTGTGTGTGTGTGTGTGTGAGATTGAGCACGCACGCACATGTGTGTGTGTGTGGGTGTAAGGGCTGCGTGTCATCCAGCGCGTTGACTGGAGCAGTGACTGGTGGCCAACTTTACGCCTTTTTGGGGGGAGGAGCCAACTTGATGATCTCGTCTTCGGATGGCTGACGGATGATGTCTGCGATGGCAAGAAGGGGATACAATTAATTTTGTTCTGATTTTTTTTTTTTTTTTGGTCTCCCCCCCCCCCCAAATCCTCTTTACTCATTGAAATAGGATATGCCAATCATTCCTTCCAGCCCACACCCCCCAAAAATGTTGTTGTTTTTTGTTGTTTAATAAGGAAAAAAATAACAGCACTCTATAATATTGCTCTTTCGTGGAAATTAGTATTGAAATGTAAAGAATGTCCATCATGATTTCATGCTTCAATTCAATTCTTTTGTGCTGCTCCTGGTGCTCTGGTGTGCCCACCTTGGCCACAGGGAGGCAGTATAACACAGTCATGAAGACATCCATGACAAATGTGTGTGTGTGTGTGTGTGTGTGTGTGTGTGTGTGTGTGTGTGTGTGTGTGTGTGTGTTTGTCTATATATATGAAGATAGTACACATGTAGGAACGTGCGTGACCTTTGTATTTCTTGGCCGAGGGAATGCGCGTGAGCTTGGTGTCGATCTCGTCGTCCTCGTCGATTTTGAGCACGGTGGTGCGATACTCGATCACGCGGGTCAGGAGGTCGGGGCGCCGAGAGATCTCAAAAATGTGCTCCATGTACGACAGGTTGTCTGGTGGGGAAGACGGTGACACGGGATGAGCGCGTGCGCGTTGCGTACCGGCGTACGTGCACGTGTGTGTTGGCGTTACCGTGGGCCAGCTTGTCGTTCTTCTCCAGGTAGCTGAACCACTCCTTGCAGGAGGTGATGGCGTCGCTGTGCTCCTCAGGGATGTCCTCCTTGCAAGCCGACTTGAGCTGCTCCAGGTCCTCGTTGGTGATGTTGTCCGACAGGTCGCTGAGCAGAGAGCTGTACTCGGCCATCTTCCGAGCCACACGACGCAACCAACCACAATTGGGATCTGCAAGTGGGGCACAGGTTATGATGGCAAACGAAAACTAAGCAAATGACTCCAACTAAAATTGACAATAAATTGTGGTTCACCTTATTACACAATACTTCGTGAGCATTTTTTTTTGTCTCTGCAAAACACTCCAGATATGAAGAAAACGAAAACTAACACTAAAGCTCAACAAAAATTATGTATTTTCGTAAAAAAAAAAAAAAAAAAAAAAAAAAAGATTCAATACTGCTTTCTAAAAATGAATTACACGTATTATAATTTTTAAAAAAGTAAAAATGGAATCAAAATTAACTATTTCAAAAAACTATTATATCCCTAGTAGGAAGTGGGTGGGGGTGAACAAATTAATTGCTTGGTATTTTCACACTTCCGTTGCGCTGTATGTCCTTCAAGGTTTATCTTTTCTTCATCCAATAATTTATGGACTGTATTGGCCTCCCTTCTCGAATTTAAACCCCGTGAGCGCGCCTCGCTCTGTATCTCTTGTTACGCAGATTTCGACATACTCACACACGGAGAGGCAGAGCAAAGCGTGACCTATATAGCGCGGTTATTGATGCATTGCTCCGTCGGAGGTCGCCAAAGCCTTGGAGAGAGCATTGCTCTGCCTTCAATCAGATTTCAAGTCAGCACTCTGACCAAGTGGTTAGCAAATCTGCCTCACACATCTGAGGTTCGGAGTTCAAATCCTGACTCTGGTCTCCTCCCGCGTTGCAAAAACAAGCACGTTTGTATCGGTCAAAACTAAATTGTCCATGGGTGTGTATGGGAAACTTGCGTATCCACGGCAGATACAAAACTTCAAGTCAAGTTCGGATGTTCTAGGAGGCTTTTGCTGACAGGTTTTGTGCTCACGCTGACTGCTGCATCATCCAATGCTGCTTTTGTGCACTTTGGATGAAAAGAAGACAACAATGGACAGAGCAGCTTCATCGAGCGACTACCCCCCCAACTCTCTCCCTCACCCGACATATACACACACACACACACACACACACACACACACACACACACACACACACACACACACACACACACACACACCACCATGACTTGACAAAAAAAGCACTATACTCCCGTCGTTATGTTATAGAATAAGCACAAAGTAGTGCAAGAAGCGATGAAAATATGAACCAACTACTCCCAAGTACACCCTCCCTCCACGGCCCCCCGCGCCCCTCGGGGATGAGCGTGACACGGCATCCACACAGAAGAAGCGGCAGTGTGCGCCTCACATTCCCGTGCGCACAAACAAGTCTTTGTCTCCACGGTGTGTGCATGAGCTTGCGCGACCGCATGCACTGGCTGGTTAATGAAGCGAGTTTAAGCACAAAAAAAAAAAAAGATTGGATGTTGTTTTTTGTTTTTTTTTTAAATTCATGTTCATTTGACAAAACTACTTGACTCTTCATTACACACAGCTTGTCATGATCGATAAGAGAGAGACGATCTATCGCCTAAGTCATTGATGTATATTTACAGTATGTATGGCGTTACAATGATGGCAGTTACCTAGCAACGGCCGGGGGCAGAGGTCCCCCGCACGATCCCCTCCTTACCAAATAATAGTGCACTCTTGGCTTTGGTGGTCGCCACGGCAACTGAATCAGAGGCGAAAAAATTCTTGCGCCTGTGATCAGAATCATTGACTCCCTGATCACTGACATTGGGATTTCTGCTGTTGTCGATAGGACCGAGATAGTTGCGAAACAGAAAATGCAACGAATGCAGCGACCGCCTTGAGTTCGCAGCGAGGCGACGTCAACAGTTTTTCGTGGCACGAGCAGTGATTGGGCAGATGCGAGCTAAACAATAAGCATCAGTCTGTCAAACTAAACATCAAACTAAGAAAATCACATGCTTATTTTCAAAAACTACTCTATGTAACTCTGCCAATGTCAAATCTCTTTAGCTTAATGCTAACCCAGATGAAATATGGCATTTACATGCTAACAGTTAGCATCAATACTTGTGGTTTTAAAATATCCTTAGGCAACGGGTATTTGAACACAAACGACGGAGCAACACATTTAGACAATACTCACTGGCATATATTCTTTATCCCCCAGCGGAAAATGACATATATTACAGCCACTTTTTGAGCAATAGTTGTAGCACGCACACCAGAGGGAGTGTCGCATTGAATTCGACTGTAGCATTAAATCACCATTCAATAAAGTTATTACTCTACATTTTTTACAACATTATGGAGTGCTGTATTGTATATCACAATTTTCGGGTTTGTTTTTGGAGCGGGGTGAGGCCGGAACAGATTTGTGGCATTTCCATTCATTCCAATGGGCAAAGATGATTTGAGATACAAGGTGGTAACGGAACCAGTTGAACCAGTATCTGAAGTCACCACGGTAAATCAGTTTCAACACTTCCCAACAGGCCATCGTTTTTGTCAGCGTCTGCGGTGGCCGCCATATCGCTGGGAGCGTGCGTGAAGCGCTCGCTAATCCGCGCGCAAGAATGTAGGGCAGCGGCCCGCTTGCCATTGAGCAGAAAAGAAGATTTGCACACATCTGTGCATCCGTGTGCAAGCGCACTCCGCTTGGCCTTCTCATCGATGCGAGAGAAACGCTCCATTTCGTGACTCCGTTCCGACACCGTCAGCCGTCGCCACGGCAACAACACCCAAGCATGGCCAAGTGGCCTTTTCTTGACTTTCTCCAAGCTCGCCAAGCTGCCGAGGCTTGCTACCGGTTATGATGATTGTTTTCCAGAAAACGATGCAAGGGAACATTTCATTTCAGTGGTTTCGCTATTTTTTTTTTTTTTTTGTACCTTGAGTAGCGAATGTCAAGTGGCAGCAGCTGGTTTCATTAGGGAAGTGCAAGGAGTGACTTCAGTCTGCCTTCTCAAGAAACGACCATGAAAGCGGAGATGCGAAGGCGTTTGTATTTAACAAGGACGTTTTTCTGAGAGAAAAAGCGTCTCAGAAAAACGTCCTTTCACACTACATACTTCTCTGCGGAAGTCAACACTAGCGAAAACCTGGCTGAGATTCTAAAGATTTTAATCTTGTTTGTTCACATGAGAAAAAAAAAATCCCAGAAGGGAGAAAACAAAACTTGTTTTGGTGGTTGTTTGTGTCTTCTAAAGCCGGCGTATCAATGTAGCGCGTTGGATGAACATTTTTCCAAGCAGCAAGCGCTTTAGGGGCGCATTGGAGATTTCACAAATTTTTTGGGGTGTTGTTTTGTTTTTGAACGCATATGTTTCTCTCATTTCGGTCTGAGCTACAGCACACAGTGTCAACAGGGAGCATGTGTGTGTGGGTTGCTACACACACACACACACACACACACACACACACACACACACACACACACACACACACACACACACACACACACACACACACACAAGGCCTGTGGGCGCACACGGATGTGTCCTGCATGCAGATAGCAAAACCATTTGTTCGTAGAAACTTGTTTGCAGCCAGAGGGCAAAGAAAGAGCGAAAGAAAAGAGCGCAAGGGCTGACTGGCCGACTTCCTGTCAGTGCAACGCACTTCCTGGCGCAGCGTCTGGGAAGAGGAAGACAACAGCATGAAAAAGTGTCGCTAATCCGCCCTTCCTCCTCGTCTTTCCGCCCGCCGTCGTGCACAAAGAGCTTGTTTTCATAGACGAGCACGCATCAGAAAGCTCGTGATGAAGGACTTTTCCAGAATCCAACCAAATGCACTTTTTGATCCCACAAGCTTAATTTGTTCCTTGACCGAGCTTGTGACGAACACTGAATCCAATTTGGGGCGTCGATTCTTGCAATGCGAGTCGACAGCAGAGCAAAGGTGTGTTTATTTCCGAGCGGGTGAACCCTCGGTGAGTGAGAGAAGCCAAAAAGGCCGAGCGCCAAGCCAGACAAAGACGGCGTGCGGTCACGCAAGCGCCGTCACACCTAATTTACTAATCCGTTCAAATTCCACCTCCCTGCCGTTCAGATGGCCGGCGAGCTAGCGGCTGTCAGTACCGGACGAGACACAACATGAGATGGCAATGCTCATATGATAGCATTACGCTTTCGGGAAAGACACTCAAACATGGCGCAGCACTACTTTTATCCAAATGAAACGCCGCCAGTCACTACAACATAGTTCCTTGACACCAAAATGTCACATGATGTTGACAAAACACTCCCTTTGTCTCCACGAAACTCTACTCACTTCTACAAAGTTGCCTGATGCACAAAGTTGAAACAAGATGCCTAACCGAGAACTTGAGTCAAAGAGGAGCCGTGTGACCTCTTCACAGACCGTGTGGGCGCCTGAGGCCGATGACGTCATCATGGTGCGACGACAGCAGACGGGCGTCAATGTTTGTGAGGTGGAAGCTTCATTATTCTGGAAGCTTTGCAGCGGATATAAATATCACACTGCCTCTGGGAGGAGGAAGAGGAGGAGGAGGAGGAGGAGGAGGAGGAGGAAGAGGCGGCGAGTGCTGATTAAACCAGGGTGCAAGAGTCCAACACATCCCTTCGACTCCTGCGTGAACACACACCAGTGACTTTGGATTTATGTGTGTGTGTGTGTGTGTGTGTGTGTGTGTGTGTGTGTGTGTGTGTTTGTGTGTGTGTGTGTAAGTGTGTGACAGTAAAGGATGAGAAACACGTGAGGAGTCGACGTCAGTATCAAAAATATCCTTCATTTCCTGCTCCATCCTCCTCCTCCTCCTCCTCATCATCATGCTAATTCATGAATGGGCAAACTTTTGTGCTAAATAGCTTTGTTTGCAGCAAGGCAGGAAAAGCCAGAGAAGGAAGCGCGTGTGTGTTATGTGCATGCATGAAGATTGTGGCACACGAGGGACAATGTGAGGAAGTTTCTGAGTGGGCCACTTCTGGATGACATCCAACAGGAAGATGGTCTCTAAGAGGGCCAAACACACAAGCCAAGCATGTATGGTATTCACACCTGTGCGGTGCATTCAAGTGTCTGTGGAAAATGTGGTCAAAACAGGTGCGAGAAGCACGCGATGGTCACCAGACACTCCACAGGTTCCTGAAAGAATCTCCCTTCACCCTTTACAGATGCTTTCATCGGGTTCTTGAACGCACCACGGAGGGCCCCGGGGAGCCTTCGTCATGATGGATGTCAACAAGTTTCACACATTCGAAGGCTGTCTCTCCTTTGTTGGGATTAGGTTCCACTAGTCTCCACCGCAAGCATCACAACAACACACCCGAGGACGTGGACAACAAAAGTCAAGCAAATAAATGCTGACTCGTGTTGCCCCAGAGAGGGTGGATCGATTGCTCCCCGAAAAGCTGACTCACGCACACACGCACACACAATCCCATTAGGACCTGTGGGACACTGGGGACAGGAAACCCACAAAGGGGAAGCAGTTCCTAATGATGCGTTTAATGACTTTCCGTGTTTGTACTTGCTGACTCATTCCCTGTGCTCACATTCGTCTACGTCCCCGAAATAAATCAGCTGGTCTTTCTGATTGGCACACATGCATACGCGGGAAGGCTGCAAAGGCAGTGATCGGAAGGAAGTGAACGCAGCACGGATGCCAAGCCACAGTGCAACTGTCGGGGATCGAGGGCCAAGCTCTGCTGAGAATACTGAAAACCTGCGAATAACTGACATCCCCTAGGAAAGTATGTAATTGCTTCTACATGCCACGAGATGGCAGGCAAAACACTACTTTTGTCTAAATGACACTCTTCACCTCACTTCAACATAGTTCCGTGGTGCACAAAGACACCGCAAGATGTTGGTATTTTAATCCAAATGAAACTCAACTCGCTTCAAGATCATTCCTTGATGCGCAGCAAGGCCACGGATGTTGGCAACATTTATTTCCAAATGAAACTCCTCAACTTAAATGAACATAGTTGCATGATGCAGGAAGATGCCACGGGATGGCGCCTAACGAGTACTATCATTGCTTTGGTATGAGCACAAAAAGAGCTCATAGGCGAAACCGCGAATCTGCGGTTTGCTCTGGTTTTATCATGATGCGTTGAATGCCCCCTTGAGTGCGGGAAAACGGTACACTTGTGTTAAACGAGAAGAAACAGAAGAGGAAGGGGAGGAGGAAGAGATGGGGGGTAGTCACGGAGACGTACAGGCATGCCAGCTGCCTCCTGCTTTACATTTTTACCACCCCCCCCCA